GCTCACAAAAACAGAACAGCAAGCGAGCGAGAATTTCTATTATCGGCGATGCAGGCATAATTTGCTGTCATTTCTTTCGTTGTTTTTTCTTGCTTTCCCATTTGACTCGTATTTATTCATCTATCTATCTATCTATCTATCTATCTATCTATCTATCTATCTATCTATCTATCTTCATGCCAGTCAAGCAATCTATCTATCTATCTATCTACCTAGCTTCATGACAGTCTGTCTGGATATATATCCATCTTCATGTCATTCAATCTATCTCATTCTTTTCAATGTCTTTTGTACGTATTTATTTATCTAACTACCTAGCTACAGATATCATTCTGTTCATACGAGCACATGTATATATGTTCGTACCTATGTATGTATCTATCTATCTATCTATCTATCTATCTATCTATCTATCTCATTTTATTCTGCCTTTCTGTTCGTATCTATTAACAGAGCTAGGCATCTATATATCTCATTCTGTTCATTGCCTATCTATCTATCTATCTATCTGACACTCAATCTGTCTATCTCATCCATTCTCAATTCTTTCTTTTTAGCCTTGCCAGAGTTTAAACATATCTATGTGTCCTTGTGAGTGCTTGGCAAGTCTGTTTATTATTTATCTGTATTTTTATCTAAGTCCGTTTATCTATCTATCTATCTATCTATCTATCTATCTATCTATCTATTAAATTCTGTTCATCATCTATATTTTTATGCCTGTCTGTTCAATATCTATCTATCTATCTATCTATCTATCTATCTATCTATCTATCTATCTATCTATCTATCTATCTAAGTCTGTTTATTATCTATCTATCTATCTATCTATCTATCTATCTATCTATCTATCTATTTAATTCTGTTTTTCTATGTATGTATGTATGTTTGTATCTATCTATCTATCTATCTCTCTGATTCTATTCACATCTTTCTATCAATTTATTTTTTATCTTAAATATAACAATATATTTGGTTTGAAATCATTGGTTTCTATTTAAATTTACCGTCACTCTTTCACATTGTTTTTATGTACACATATTCTAGTTTGGTCTCTGTAAATAATATTTACTACGATGTGAAGTGCATTGAAAAGAAAGCTGATTAAGTGGAAGCATAAATAAATGAATATTTTAAACAAATTATACCCCCAAATACTTTTTCCCACCTGAGTTTATGTTGCGATTTTATATGTGTGCCAATGTGGAATGAATATGGCTGCCACATCTTGTCCGGTGTTTCTGCTATACATCTAGAGCTTCTTAAGTAAATCCAAAGGGGAATCTTCAATATTATCGGTCCTGACTGGGCATCTCGGTCTGAATCTGTTTCCCGCCGCCGTAACGTACTTGTCTATAAATAACTTCATGTGAATGGTTCTCATATACTTTCCTCTTTGGTTCTAGTTTTTAGAATTATTGTTTTATTTCCCCCCCCCCAAACAATGAATTGTAAATATGGGAACTAGTTAGTATTTTCATAGAGACAATGAGGTATTATGGTGAATGTAAGAAAGGTACGTATTAATGTGTCGTTTTAGTGTAAAGAATATTGTTCGTACGACTGGGTCAGTGTTTGCGGCTAGCTAAGTTATAGTTAAGACAGAAGATGACCGTCCTTTCCCCAATCCCCCCTACGGCCTTGTGCCACATTTCTGTATTTTACAGAATAAATATCACTTTCCTCTTTGGTGCTTCGTGACTTTAAGCGGGGACTTGGCAGAGTATTGCGAGACAGGAGGATTTATTTGGTAAAAAAGAAAAAAAATACTGTTATGTGACATCTGTCCTCCTTTACGGCAGCGAATGTTGGACGGTCTCCTCAAAGATGAGGAAGAGACTCGAGGCGGCGGAGAGGTGATTCTACAGGTGTGATTCTAGTTTCTGCCATATTAACTTGCCAACTAGTGAATAGTCAAGAACCTATACTGGTAGAAAATAACATGCATAAAGAACGAGTTCAGCGTATATACTAAAATAGAAAGGAGCGTAAGGCAAAGGTGTGTCTTCTCAACGGACCTATTCAACTTATACAGCGATGCTATTCTGAGAGAATTTAAATCCAACCGGGATTCAGCATCGGCGGTCACAACATAAGATACGCAGATGACACAGTACTGGTAGCAGACACAGAAAAGAAATTACAAAACCTCCTACAGAAGATAGCGAAGGAGACCAGGGAGAAGGGATTAAGCATATATTGCAAGAAAACCGAATGCATGGTCATCAGTAAAAGGATGAGCGCGAATTGCGTATTTGCAGGCCGGGGACACTAAAATCAAGCAGGCGCGGAAGGTTAAATATATGGGAAGACATTTAACGGAGTACAGCAAGCGCAACGCAATGATCCGTAGACGCATTGGGATGGCCAATGACGCATTCTAAAAGCTGGGCAGAGTATTACGAGACAGGAGGATTTCTTTGGCAACAAAGAAAAGAAAGCTGTTACGTGACATATGTCCTTCTTTATAGCAGAGAATGTTGGACCGTCTCCTCAAAGATGAAGAAGAGACTCGAGTTGACGGAGATGTGATTCTACAGAGAGATGTTGAGTATATTATGGACTGAGCGTGTGAGCAACGATGAGGTCTTAGGATGAAAACAAAGATCAGACATACTTGACACCAGGAAGAGGCAGCTGAAGTCCATGGGACACGTAATGAGGAAGGAGGGCCTAGAGAATCTGATACTCAGTGGGCGAATAGAGTGAAACAGAGACAAGGGAAAATAGCGCATGACATAACTAGCGAGCTTAATGAAGTAGATGACAGAACGTAGTCTGGGGAGGTGGCAGAGGAACGGAACTTGTTGTGAGCTGCAATAGATAGGGGAAAGTGGTGAGACGTGACCGTTTGCGTCCTGAAAGGACACGGCACATAAAAAGAAAAGAAAAGAACAACTAGATTGGCAGTGATGTTTCATCAGTTCACTGGTCAAATTCAATGAAGCATTAAATCTATTTAAATAATTATCATTTTTCTTTCTTTATTTGCTTTTCATACCTTTATTTACGTTTTCGCTTTTTCTTTTCATTTATCTTTACTTATCTGAATCTATTGGTTTCATTCCTTCATCCTTTCTTTCTTTCTTTTTTTCTTTCTTTTTTCTTTCTTTTTTTCTTTATTTCTTTTTTCTTCCTTTCTGTTTTCTTTCATTCTTTTTCTTTCTTTCTTTTTTTTTTCACTTTCTTCTTTCTTTTTTCTTTCTTTTTCTTTCTTTCTTTCTTTTTTATTTCTTTTTTCTTCCTTTCTGTTTTCTTTCTTTTTTCGTTCTTTCTTTTTTTGTTCTTTCTTTCTTTCTTTCTTTTTTCGTTCTTTTTTTTTTTTCTTTCTTTCTTTCTTTCTTTCTTTTTTCGTTCTTTCTTTTTTCTTGCTTGCTTTCATTTTTCTTTCTTTCGTTCTTTCTATCTTTGTGTCTTTTCACGTTTATCTATCATTCTATCAGTCTATATAGGTCTTTTTCTTTCTTACTTTTTTTTCCCCATCTTTCTTCTAGTTTTTGGTATGATGATAAACTATATCCTGTAGCAAGGCCTCTGATTCCAAAGAAGGACTGAGAAGACGAGAAAAACAAAAGAAGACCACAAACAATACTAAAATTTTGTACTACCGAATAAAACAGGATAATTTGCTTTGAGGAAACACGGAATAATCTGACTATTTTTAACGAGAAAAACTTCGGTATTCAATACACGTTGGAATGTCTGATTCTGATGAAAAATAAGAAGGTTTTGTCACCTATGCTGGAATCATTGACAAGAAGGGTGAAAGATTCAAATTAAACAAATTGACTCCGGAGATTTTAAAAGGTTAATTTTCATTCAAGAGTTAACGACGAAAAAAGATGCAGAAACACATGATATAAAATGTAACATAACTTGTATAGAATCGAAAATTAACACTACAAGAAACAGTAGACGAATGTCAAAGAATTCTAAATCTGAGACGCGATACGGACGAAATTGAAGAAAATGAATGCGAATACATACAAGCTAAAGAAAAATGTGGGAAAAGGAAAACTAATCTACGTTTCAAATGCGTAAGGTTACATCGTGCTACAAATGTGGAAAAATATGTGATAAAAAGTCACACGGCAAAACAAAATCAAGAAAAAGTTCTTACAGTAAAAAATGTGGTACAAAACGCTGTGACTGAAAAATAATTACAGAAAAACAAATAAATCTTGTGTATGTGAAAACTAATAATGTGGATGTAAAAAGCAACTAGACACTGGTAGTGATATCGCAATAATCAATGAAGCCACATGGAAATCAAACAGAAAACCTACATTAAAAACCATGTTTGAAAATCGAAAAAAGGCTTGTCGTGTAAGAAATTATTTTTATTGGTGAAATGACTTGTAATGTTTCATTTCGAAACAAGTGTGTGAAAGCTGAGGAATATGTACTAAAAATACTACAAACTTATTCAGCACTGACTGGATGGAATTATTTGAGTTGTGGGATATATATAAATATTTATTGCAAAAATATAAGTTGAGAAGATACCAATTTAAAGGGAGAATTGAAAAAAAATGTTTCCGTATGTTCTGTCGGATGAGCTGGGTCGGTTTTCAAAAGTCAAAGCGAAATTTCAAGTAAAAAAGAAGGGTTGACGCCAGTGTTTAAACTGAAACATAGAGTACCATTCGCAGTACTGGATCAAGTCAACAAAAGCTTAAGACTTGAAAAATAGGTTTTAATTGAAAATATTGACTCTTCAAAATGTACGTCACCAGCAGTGTATGTAAAGAAAAAAAAGATGTGTCTCAGTAAATGTTTAAAATCCCATAACGACTCATTACCAAGTCCAGAGGAAACTTTTGCGAATTTAAATGGTGGAAAAATATTTTCGAAGCTGGATCTTTCAGAAGCATATTTTCAAATCCAGTTTGAAGAAGACTGTTCAGAGTTAATAATTATAAATATGCACAAGGGATTGTATAAGTCCAACTGACTTCCTTTTGTGATATAAGTGATGATGATATTCTATTGTCTATGTATACCCTTTTTTTTATTAATACATACTTATCGTTTGTTTCTATATAGAGTTTTGTCTTTGCGTAAACATTTATTATCCGGACTCACATACTGAGTCCGCCATTTTTGTTGTGAGATATACCAGGAAACCCGTTTCTTTGACTTAAGCACACGGCCAGTAAACTTCCGCAACATACCCGAAGAAAGAGAGAATGAGAAAGCTGTTAGGGAGAAAAAGGACTTATCAGGGAGCGTGAATTTTGTTTCTTATACAAAGGTTTGTATAAGTTTATTTATGTCTAGCTACTTACGTACATTTGCTTTACATTTCCAACCATGATTCGTTCCAGATTAAATCCTTAAATTTAAATTAATTTTCCTCTTTTTGAAACATGATTGCCGAATTTAAGCAACGTAGTGTCTGGACAATGACTACATGGGTGACCGCTTAGGAATAACAGGTGCTGTAAGTTTGGATATGGTGTAATGGATAATGGCTCGGAATTCTTAATCGGGGAGCAGAGTTCAAATTCCAGTGAGGTTCGTTATATTCACTTACGTACAAATACTCTTGGGAAAGGCATGAAACCACCTCTTACCCCAGCTATGGGGTAATTATATAATTAAACCATTATTATCTCTCCGGACCAACAATTTCGTTCAATCTAAAATATTTTCTGTCCTTAACCTTCAAAAGGTTGATTAGCCGTAGAAAACGAATCAGTCGAACAATTTTCTGTTTGTCCAATGCGTCGTATCATTTGACTCGTAAACGGGTGGAAAAGAGATCATTCTTCTTTAACCCGTTTTTATGTCATATTAATAACTGAAAGACATATTGCTTTCGATTTTGTGGGGTTAAGATATCCGGGATTGTCCGTCCAGTGTGGGAAGTCGATAAAAAAATGTAATTAAGTAATCTATTTTTGCTGCATGTATTGATAGCTGTTCTAAATTCAGATTCTAATCATAAGATTTTTGAAACAGTTTTCTTAATTAAGGAAGACGAACAAATTAGAAGCCGGACATATTGATCATATGAATAATTAACATCAATTAACTACATACCTAGAATATGCACGCACAGATAGATCTCTCTCTCTCTCTCTCTCTCTCTCTATCTATCTATCTATCTATCTATCTATCTATCTATCTCTCTGTCATATCAATCGCTTTGTTCATAACTATATCTTTGTTCATATGTATGCATGTATGTATCTATCTCTTTGTTCATATCAATCTATCGATATATATATATATATATATATATATATATATATATATATATATAGTTCATATCTATCTATCTATCTATCTATCTATCTATCTATCTCGCTATCTATCTATCTTTTAGTTCATATTTATCTATCTTTTAGTTCATATCTATATATTTATACATATCTATCTTTTTGTTCATATGTATGTATGTATGTATGCATGATTGTATATATGTATGCATCTATTGCTTTGTTGATATATCTATCCATCTAAATATCTCTCTATCTCTGGTCATATTTATCTATCTAAGTTGGAACGTTTGAGATAGATAGATATGAATAAACTGAGATAGATAGATAGATAGATATGAAGGAACTGAGATAGATAGATAGATAGATAGATAGATAGATAGAAATGAAGGAACTGAGATAGATAGATAGATAGATAGATAGATAGATAGATAGATAGATAGATAGATAGATAGATATGAAGGAACTGAGATAGATGGATAGATTGATCGATAGATAAATAGATAGATATGAAGTAACTGAGATGGATAGATCGATCGATAGATAGATAAACGATTTTCTGTTACTACTTTTCTAGATTAAAATTAAAATTACGCACTATATATATATATATATATATATATATATATATATAACAACTTGCGTGAACGGAAAAATAATAAATCACTGTTGTTTAAACGTTTTTCTTCGTAACTGAAGACAAATATATTTTTTATTCTGGAAATCTATAGGCTTTCTTTTTTTAAAATTGTTTTCATAAATTTGCTCGAATTCAGAAAAAAAGTGTATTTTAATGTTGCAACCACCACTTAATGGCTGGCGTTGAAATGCAACGTTTTATGTAATGTTCAAGGCTCACCGCCAATCCAAATCTTCAACGCCAGAAGTGAGCAAGGTATGATACTGCGATTGTTCCATGCTCTTGTAATCCCGGTGAACAACATTTGCAAATGAACAGTCTTGGGGAAGCCCAAGGGTGACATCACGCTGCAACCACGGTTTCCGTAAAATAATCGAAGTTAAGCAACGTCGAGCCTGGTCAGTACCTAGATGGGTGACCGCTTGGGAATACCAGGTGTTGTATGCGTGATTGTGAGGGTGGTGTAATGGACAATGGCTTGGAATTGTGAATGGAAGCGCCAAGTTCCAATTCCCGTTGGGTTCGCTAGATTCACTGACGTTCAATTATCTATTCTACCCACCCGAAGAGAAAAGGAAAAACTCAAACGACAAGAGAAAACGCTACAACAAAATTAACCTCATCCTTCACCAAGAGTACTATGCAGTCAATGCCATCGGTCCTTACATGTAAGAATTGGTCTAATTAGTCATCGGCACCATCATCATAAAGGAAGCCATCAGAAAAGAAGAAAATTCTTGGATATGAGATAAATCTAATGACGCTATAGTTCTTTATTCTTGCTTGTTTCACTATTTCTATAAACTTTTCAATACATGTTATAGCTTACGGCCATACCACATTGAAACATCCACGTATGATCACCGAAGTTAAGCCACGTCGAGCCTGGTCAATATATCTAGATCGGTGACCACTTGGGAATACAAGGTGTTATATGCGTGATTGTGCGGGTGGTGTAATGGATAATGACTTGGAATTGTTAGTGGAAGAGCCCAGTTCCGATTCCCGTTTGGTTCGTTACGTGCAATTATCCTTGGGAAAGACCATCAATTCCTCCCAAGCTATGGGTAAATTAGTAAGACTTATATCACTAAAACATTAATATCTCCTAAAAAAAACTGTTACAATCTAAAAATATTTTGTAGGTTTAAATAATCTGCAAAGGGTTCATAAGCCGTAGAAAACAATTATCGAATGATATCAGTTTTCAGACATTTTAAACGTTTTAATATTCACAATTGAGTTCCACTTTGAGAATATCAATGACTTTATACTTTCGAAAGGTTTACCTATAAAGGTATTACTCCTATTTTATTTCTTACCATTTTTAATTTCTTTACTTTTAAGTTTTTTTAATTTTTTTTATATTTATTTTCTAATTTTTTCTTACCCCATCGCTGAACATTTGCCGTCTTGGGTAAGACGATAAACTACGTCCAACAGCAAGGCCTTTGATCAGGAGGTTTAGAGGCGCGTGGAACCATCTCTTAATTGCTGGTGTTCCCTAGGTCCACTCTGACCCGGGGAGGTAGCACCTGTTAGGGTCCGAGCTATGGGCTAATAGTTAACGCCCAAACTGTGGTTAAAACACTATGAAAATGTAAAAATAAGTTTTAATACCAGAAATACTTTGTAAAAAACTATTACCAGCAATATATTTTTGAAAAATAAAAAAATTACCAGCTATAATATTTAAAAAATAGATATATTACCTGCTATACATTTTTTGGAAAAAAATAATTACCAGCAATAATAATGTTGTTGGCAGTAAATAATCCATTGAGATTTATATGCGATAAAACAAAACAACGAAACGAAACCAAACCTGAATGATAACAGATAGGCTTTCCACCATTCAGTTGCCAGATCTTAATAAATTTTATGATCAAAATACTTATATTCAATTGTTCTTGTATTGTAAAAATATATTAGCAGCAATACATTTTTGAAAAAAAAATATAGCAAGGAATAAAAATCTTGTCAGCATTAAATAAGCCATTGAGGTTGATATACCGTAAACCAAACCAAACCTGAATGATTACAGGCAGGATTTCCAACATTCAGTTGTCAGATCTTAATAAATTTTATGATCAGCATACTTATATTCAATTGTTCTTCTCTTGTAAAAATATATTAGCAGCAATATATTTTTGAAAACAAAAATTACAATCAATAAAAATCTTGTCGGCATATATACCGTAAACCAAAGCAAACCACCCCAAAGCAAACGACACCAAAGCAAACGACACCAAACCTAACGTAACTAAACCTGAACATCGAGCGCAATTTTCTTTCGATACTCCTTTGGTGAGCAGGAATATTCACTATCTTTTATGCTTTCGAGAGAAGCAATAATTCATCTCCAACCGGGCAGTACAGTGCCTCGACTTCAGATAAGTACGGTTAATGCAATGTTAGTCGTAGTAGTGCATATCCGACAGTGGTTCAACTGAATCATTCCTAGGTCACGTACCAAAGGAATAAATTAACTTATTTTGACGAGCGATCTCAGTTGCTCCTATCATCATTCCAAGCCGCAAAAATTAATGAACTCATTAAAATGTCTCTTTTCAGGTATCGCTGCGTTCATCCTCGACATATTCGCCGACAATTTGCTCGATGCGTGGGTTTCCAGTCACAATAGAAATTTTCTTCTGCAAAGAACTTCTTGTTGGTATTTCCTCATGAGTGGAAGAACTTCTTGAGATTATGCATTCAACTGCAGTCCAAGTGTTTGGCGGGAAATACACTAGCATGCATCGAATATCTATCTATCTATCTATCTATCTATCTATCTATCTATCTATCTATCTATCTATCATTCTATTCCTATTCCTATCTATCTATCTATCTATCTATGATTGTTATCTATCTATCTATCTATCTATGATTGTTCATTATCTATCTATCTATCTATCTCATTCTATTCCTATCTATCTATCTATCTATCTATCTATGTATACATGTATGCATGTTTGTATGTATGCATCTATTTATCTAGTCTGTTCATTTTTGTATATATCTATCTAAGCAAAAATGCGAAAATTTCTTTCTTTTTCTGCATATTTAATTTAAAACTTTAATAAAAGTGTAAATGATAAACTTTTACTAATTGTTCATTATCTTTCCGATTCCGATTTATATTTGAACAATATTTGATCTTAACAAATCTATCTATCTATCTATCTATCTATCTATCTATCTATCTATCTATCTATCTATCTGTCTGTGCTAGACCGAAGTCAAGATGACCGTGGTGTTATTCAAACTGTTGATTACGCAACATAATATTCTCTCTCCCAGAAACACTAACTTCGCTCCGTTCGCTCTAGTTGCAGTATAAACCACAAATTGCCGCTGTACGTGTTGAACAAACATGAAATGTAACTAAACAGCAGTTTGCGCAAGGGATTGGCTAGCTGCCCCAACAGACGGGTATATTCGGAAACGACTTTGCATTTAGCATTATATATATATATATATATATATATATATATATATATATATATATAGAGAGAGAGAGAGAGAGAGAAGGCTTTATATATTGCAAAGGTAAACAAAATCTGAGTTGCTAATGCAAATCTCGGTGCCATTATAAAATTAAGACTTAACACCTGATATTTTTAATAAATGATTTTTTTTGTAAAGTACACCTTGGAACAAATTATGCGGAGAGGCGGCCTGCTAACAGGTCGGGGTACCTGGCAGAATGGACATGATTTTGCAATACCCGAAATTCGTAATGAAGCCGGGACGACATCATTGATGACCTCCACCGTTTCATTTTATAAATATATTTCAAGAATATATCTATCTATCTATCTATATATATATATATATATATATATATATATATATATATATATATACAGGGTGTTTCAAAAAAATTTGATATCCTTTGAGATGTAAATATCACAGAAAGTACATGATTAAGGCAAACGAAATTAAAAAGTATTAATGTTGAAGATCATAAGATTTATTCTTCCAAATCTGGATGAGGAATTCAAAAGCATGTGGATTATGTGAACGATTTCACAAGTGTTCAATATGCGCACCGCCTGAGACACGGCATTTTTATACCTGTAAAGAAAAAGATTAAAGATTAAAGAATATAAAAATACAAATAAGAAAAACACAAAAACATAAAGACATAAAAACATAAAACAACCATTAAACTTAGGGATGCTATTAAAATTTGAAGTCATTGCGAAATGATATCAAATTTTTTGAAACATCCTGTATATGTAAGACATTTTTTATGTTTATACGTTCATTTTATAGAGACAAATATTTAAGTAAATGCTCTGTTTATAATAAACAGTATTAACAACATTTACCGGCCTGAATGTCCAAGAAATTTTCATAGAAAATATTCGGCTTCCGACAGGAATCGAACCTGTATCCTATACGGAAATGTCATATAGTCTGACGTGCCTTGACCAATTGGGCCACAGAGGAGCGTTCGGTTCAATCATATCTAGTCAGATCCATTGTAGCTTGCTTTACCGTTACAGCAAACAAATCCTCTTCACTTAGATTTTTTTATCAAGAGATCCTATATACACAGTTTCGTATCCAAAATTTAAACTCAGCCATTTTTAAAGGAAAAAGGGGTTTATTTTTAATATACACTGTTTAATAAATATAAATGAGGGCAGCTAGTTCAAAAAGGAAGTATCAACTATAATGAAGGTTGAAGCAATATATATATATATATATATATATATATATATATATATATATATATATATATATATATATATATATATATATATATGATATATATATATATATATATATATGATGAAATATATATATATATATAGGATGAATATATATATATATATATATATATATAATTATTTATTTATTTAAGAGGTCTCATGTTTCAAAACAAAAGAGCCGAAAACTTCAATATAATTATTTAAATTAAATTGAGTTAAAGTAAGCTCTGTTCCATCTTCAAGCGAAATTTTTTTTTTGAATAACGTATTTCTGAAATTTACGTGTTTTAATAATAGAAATCAAAATTTCCATGGTAACAGCTAGGGCGAATTGTTTAAATTGGGTAGGCGTGTGTTGGGTGTTAATAAGTATCAGTATAGGGTTACTTTCATATATGTCAAGTAAGGGTAAGTTGGGGGTGTCTAAATTTGAAACGGAAGATGTTTTAGCCTAGTCTGGTTTAAATGTCTATGGAGATTTATTTTTTATTTTATTATTTTATTTCTTTATGAAAGGGATTTGTGCATATAAAAAAAACTGCCGTAACCTTTGTTTTTTGACGACTTCATAAAGGGTTATCTTTTTTGTAGGGTATTTAAACTATTTATTTGGGCTATGGATTATAAAAGTTATTATATTGTATGCTTGTTTTTAGCTAATTATTCGAACCATGGATTTGATGATGTCGACAAAAAACCGTTAACTCGTGTCTATTGTTTA